CCAGAGAAGGACATCATGCTTGGTAAAGTGGAGAGTCCGTGAAAAAGAGGAAGACCCTCCAACAAGATGGATTGACACAGCAGCAGGCGCAATAATGGGCTCAAACATAGAAATTGTGAACATGGTGCAAGACAGGCAATGTTTGTTAGGCTGTACGTAGGGTCTCTTTGAATCAGACTTGACAGGACCTAACAACCTAACACAAGACAGTGGAGAATGCACACACACACACACACACACACACTTTTTAACTTATAGACAACCTCATTATCTGACATTTCATTGATGACAACAGTAAAAAATGTATTGTCTGGTAGTAATGAATGCAGAAGTGTGAGATGAGAATATTGCTGGCTGTGATGGTTAAGGTTATATAGGAACTTGCCTGGACCATAATTTTCAATGGGGTGTAGTCATCCTACATTTTCACATAACACTGAAATTTTTGCAGGACGACCTGGTCTTTGGAACCTAACCATGTTGATAAGTGAGGAGTTGGTATATTAAAAACCTGGAATTAAGCAGACTAGAGGTACACAGAACATGATATGGGAGCAGAGAGAAGAGAAATCCCAATAATGAGATCTGAGAAGCGTTTTTGGAAAGGTAGCTGAAATTTGAAAGCAAGATATTCCCAGGAGATGGGGAACAATGAGAATCCAAAACAAAGCAGCCTCATAAAAGGCCTTAATGTGCGAATGTGTTAGGCATCAATTACATGGGAAGAGATAAGAGTTATGGGTGGTATTTTGGGAGATAAAGCAAGAAAGGTAAAAGTTAAACCATAGAAGAGATTCCACAAACTAGAGAATGAGGAATTTAGTTCTACAGTGAAGCCGGAGAGCTGCAACTACACAGGACAGCCTTGTCTTTCCAAGTATTTCAACTTTTCTGCCTTTGGCAGGGTACAGTCTTACCATTTTCCTATCACTTATTTTAGTGCAAAAGATTTGCATTTTCCCTTGCTGACCGGTTTCCACCTTACACAGGTTCTAGCTTTTGCTGGTTTTAACTGTATATAAAAGGAAGATCCTTACCATACATCTGTATCACTGGATTTCCTGCTTTACACAGGGCAAGGCACTTGCTGGTATACATAAATGTGTTAAATCATTGGACTGGAGGAAAACTAGGCTGGAGGTTGAGTAAATGAGAAAAGATAAGTCTGGAGCTTTAAGAAGGAGCCTTTGTTTGGGGATTATCAGTTTCAGATGTTTGATTTCATCCATTGTTTTATACAGATCTGTACTGATTTTGAGAGATTTTCCTTACATTGCCTCTAAATTGTAGAGAATTACTTTAGTTGGGTACTACTGGTGCCAGAGTCACCTTAAAGAGAAAGCAAAAGAATGAACTAAAGGAAGTAGGTGGTTGGAGGTGATTTGATTTTCATGTTTTAAGGTGGGTCCACTTTACCTTCCATCTTCATTAACTGTGGTGTGGATATGTAGAAATTTTAGAGGACAGATCTTGTTAACTTAGAAATCAAATAGTTGAAGAAAATGTGTAAACACACGACTGCTTAAAATTTGGGGGCTGTGGTGGGGGAATATAAAGTCCTGTAGCCAGAAGTAACATCTCACTTTTCTGACTGAGGCTTTCAACACTTCTAGACCCCTTGCAAGTAAAGTTTCTAGAGCCCTGCTGATAGCCTGGACTACAAGGGATTCATCCATTTTGCCCTACACTCTGTTCTGAGCTATGCGTTTTGGGAGATACGCAGAAATACGCAGTTTATTGCTTCAAGAGTTCAAGACACTGTTGTTTTCAACCTTTCGTTTCCCCTCGGCAAGCTTCCGCACTTCACCATAAAGGAGATATCCCAGAACTCTCCCCTTCATGTCATCTTCCCCTGGTCTCACAGAAGCCTTTCCGGCAGTCTGGGTTCAGAGTCTACTCTCAGCAAAGCGCATCTCTTCCCAAGCCACCCAGCGAGACGTTTTCTGTAATTTTCCCCTTGAGCTCCCGCTTCTCCAAGTCCCCAACTGGCGGGAGGCTCCAGGGACCGTTGAAACCTGCACCAACCGTTCCTTTTGTCCAGTAGGCGCGCGTGCAGGGCCGGCGAACAGGTGTGGGAGAGGTGGGGCGTTGGTGGGAGCGCCAGCTAGTGGTTGTGCGGCGCTGAAGTAGCTTTAGCTGGGTTGCGGAGGGGCGGGGGAGCCGCAGGACCCAACAAGGGCGCGTGGATGAGTGGTTGAGTGGTTGGAGTTGGGGATGGGGAAGCGCTCTGGTTGGTATTTCTGTAAAAAACAATAGAATATAATGAAGTACAAAAAGCAGTTTGCAAAACGATAACTCTGAGAAGATGTCACAGAGTCAAACTATAAATATGTGCACCACGTTTGTAGGTTAATAACATTGAAAAAGATCCGAGGATGCTCTGGGGGAGGAAGTGGGTAGGAAAGTTGGCGGCTGTACCATGTACATTAAATATTTCTGAGATATTATTTAGATCGGAAATGTAGTTAAGTAATTGAAAAAGGTCTGCATTTGGAACACTTGGATATTCTCTTACTTTCTGTCGGTAGGAACTGGCTCACACTCAACACAGGGAAGAGCTGAGAGCCAAGAAAGGCGGTTTGCTCACTGCCCTTGCTTCCTTGTTCGCTTCTCTGCGTGGGCTGCTCATCAGCCCTCCATACTGACCCTCAATCCCTCCACTAAACCGAAATTAGGAGTCTTCCGCTACCATATCTGCAAAACCTAGTCCCCAAAAGGAAACGTTTTGAGGACAGTAAATTATTCACAGGCACATGAACATTTGTTTACATTTGTTTAGGCATTATCCCCAAACCATATTTGATTAAAAAAAAAAAAAGTTAAAATATTTAGAGGGTGTCTAAACAGAAATCGTGGTGGTTACGAATCGAACTGCGAACGGCAAAGTCAGCAGTTGGAAACTACCCGCTATTCCGCGGGAGAAAGATGAGGCTTTCTGCTCCGGTAAAGATTTGCAGCCTCGGAAACCCTGTATGGGTCGCTATCAGTCGGCACTCGATGGCACCTAACAACAACAATAGGAGTCCTGGTGTAGCGCTGTAGGATAAGTACTGGACTGCAAGGTCGGTTGAACCTCAAGGCTGGCGGTTCAAACTTACCAGCTGCTCCTTGGAAACCCTATATAGGGTCACTATGAGTTCAGAACAGACTCAACAGCATTTAACATTTTTCTACAAACTAATCAATCTACAGAATTATTCAAATTTCTACAAATTTCCAGCTAATATCCCC